CTCACAGATACAATTTACAATACCTAAATTAAAATTTGTCAGATTACCAAAATGCTACCACATGCACTAACAAATTACATATAATCCTGGATAGGCAATACCTTTATTGGACCAGTTTTTTTTTTTTAAATCATACAGTCCGCTAGCTTTCGCGGATCAAAGCCCACTTCATCAGACATCCACCGATGTCTTGTCATTAGTGCAGAGTCCAAAAAGTTCATCACTGATGGTTGTGCCATTCTTGCTTCTTAGATGTAAGTTAGAGAGTGTGCAGGCTTAATTTAGGTAAAGGTAAAGGTTCCCCTTAACATTTCGTCCAGTCGTGTCTAACTCTAGGGTGCGGTGCTCATCCCCATTTCAAAGCCGTAGAGCCAGCGTTTGTCCGAAGACAATCTTCCGTGGTCATGTGGCCATTGTGACTAGACACAGAACAGCATTACCTTCCCACCGAGGTGGTACCTATTTATCTACTCGCATTTTACATGCTTTTGAACAGCTAGGTTGGCAGGATCTGGGATAAGCGATGGGAGCTCACTCCATCACGTGGATTCGATCTTGCGACAGGTGGTCTTTCCGACCTTCTGCGGTTTAACCCACTTGACTTAATTTGGCACCAATTGGCTCTATCTAGTGGGTTTACTAAATTTTCACCCCAGATCCTAGCTGAAGGATGTATAGGTTCTGTATGTTGCCCTTTTCCCCAGCTGAATAGAAACTTGAAGTTTCAAAAAAAAAAAAGGCTTTGCCTCTGCTTCTTTTTTTGAGCAATGGGGTGTGTGTGATATCCAATTAACAGCATCANAGAGAAAGAGAGAAAGAGAGAAAGAAAACGGCTTTGCCTCTGCTTCTTTTTTTGAGGAATGGGGTGTGTGTGTGCATGCAGTGTCTGTGATATCCAATTAACAGCATCGTCAGCTACACTTTTAAAAGCACAGCCCCAATACAGCCTGTGCCCTCTCTAACTTGGATCTAAGAAGCAAGCGGGGTACAACCATCTGCTATGAACCTTTGGACTTTAAATTCTCTGCACTAACAACAAGACAAGGCATCAGTGCACGCCCGAAGTAAATTAAAGGTTACTTTTCTTACTTGGTGGAGACCAGGGTTAGGGAGAGAATAATGAAAGCTCATTAAGAACTTCAGATGGACTCTCATAAACCGAAGAAGCAATTTTAGAGTTTTTCACTATCATTAATCATGACCATCCATAATCATTATTTCACAAACGATCGCCCGTAGGACTTCATTAAACTTCTTGCATATTTAACTTGTGAGAAAAAATTAATTAAAGGCTGCTTGCCGAGGGGAAAAAAGAGGTCATAAAATACCCCAAATAAATAAAAGTGATCTGCAACAACATTATTAGATATTTAAAACAACTTCCTGGAAAAGGTTATAGATGTAATAAATAAGGTCAATCGGTTGGGTCTAGATTTCTTGATATTTGCAGGGTGAATTTATTAAACTCAGTGGCCAGTAGGCAAGCTGGAGGTTGTGTTGTTGAAATGACTGGGGGCTTTCTCTTTGTTTATTATTCTTGCATTTATTTAATGGATGCCTCCTTGCACAAAGTCATTAAAACCCAATAGTTCGTGTAAGGGATTGTTGCACAAGTCAAACAGATGGGGCAGGATGACAGCCAATGGGATTGACACAAACATCATTGATTTAGATGGATTTTTATCCCATTGATGCCAGTGGGTCTTCTATAAAAATGACTAAATGTAAATCCATGGCAACTACTGTATAGTATTTACAGAAGCCTTAACCTGTGGCAGGATTAGCTTGCTCATCCTAAATTATATTGACTTTTTCCTTCCAAGAGCCTCAAAAGCAAATAATCCAGACACCTATGATGTTAACTGAAAGACTTTCCATTGCCTTTGGTTACTCCCACAGAGACTAATTTACCATAAATTCCCATAGCAATCCACTAGTGATTCATATAAGCAAATAGGACTCCAATTTACGAAATTCAAATCCAGGTCCCAGCTGTGGATCTGTTGATTCTGAATGAAGTTACACCGGACCATCCAGAGATAAGCGACTTTGCTCAATACAACAGAAAGATAAGGATAGATGTATTCATTTGCTTAATATATTTAGATCCTCCCTTTTAAAGGTAGAATCCTCACTGTACAGCTTTGCTGCAGTTAATAAAGAGGATGAGGACAGCCGGTGGCTTGATGGTGGAGCCTCTGTGTTGTGCATAAGAACATAAGAAGAGCCCTGCTGGATCAGGCCAGGGGTCCCTCTAGTCCAGCATCCTGGATCTCACAGTGGCCCCACCAGATGCCTCTGGGAGCACACAAAACAAGAGACCTGTCTCCTGATCCCCTCCCCTGCATCTGGCCTTTGGAGGTACCTTCTTTTGAAGCCTGGAGATGATACAAAAGGTCCCAGGTTCAACTGCAGCACCACGAGGAAGGGTTTGCAAACACTCCTGTACAAAAATGCTGAAAAATCAGTAACTTTTCAAAGAAGACATTCTCTTGCGAAGCATTCAAGAGAGAATTAAGTCACCCTCTGTTAGATCTGCTTTGATTTGGATTCCTGCATTGAATGGGGGTTGGACTCAATAGCCTTATAGGCCCCTTCCAACTCCATGATTCTATGTTTGATAGTGACTGGGGCATTGGGGGATCCATGCTAGTCTGAACTTTTCAGGAGCTATCCAAGGTGCTGAAAACGCACACACCCCACGAAGAGGTCCAGCCCCTCGATTAGCCCCTCCAAAATTCCAAATAAATTCTGGACGGGATTTGCTAACACCACCCGATGAAATCAGTCATTTGTCTCAACTGAGCAGAAAGTAACTTTTTATGATGGGAACAAGTCGTCGTCATTGATCATCGGGAAGGCCTTTCACTCAGACCCATCACCCTCACAGGGACGTTTGGTGGAGACACAAGAGAGGGCCTTCTCTCTTGCTGCTCCAAGACTCTGGAATGCCTTCCTACGGGAAGCCAAATGTATACAAGTGTACATTCAGATATTGAAATGCACAGGACATTTAAAATCTGATGCATATACAAGTCAGAATGAACTTGACAGTGGAAAATTACCGTATTTTTCCATGTATAAGACTATACTTTTGTCTAAAATCTTCAGACTAAAATTGAGGGTCATCTTATACATGGAAGTAAGCTGAGGAGAGAACAAAAACAAGTGGGGGGAGCAGGGATCAAAGCGATCCTGCACCGCTTTGATCCCTTTCCCCCTACACTTGCTAAGTCCCACTTAGATTTCTTAATTTTGGATTAGAAAAGTGGGGGGCATCTTATACATGGAAGAATATGGTACTAACAAGAACAGTAATAACCTTAGAACTGGAACGCTGGGAAGGGACCCTATGGATCATCACGTCCAGCCCCTCTCAAGGAGGCCCAGTGGGGAACTGAACTCCCAACCTCTGGCTCAACAACCAGAGACCTAAATCCCTGAACTATCCAGCCGTTATGCCTGTGTAAACTACATCTGGGCATTAGAAACAGTGGGAAAGCTTTCGGAGCTCCAGGTTGGGGGAGATTACAAAAATTGTTACTGGATCACCAAATAAATGAAAACAGAATAAAACAGAACTAAAGGAAACAACTCAGCTCCTATGACTTAACAACACTCTCAGGAGTTAATCTTATTGATTGCAGTGGCCATTACTCCCAGGTAAGTGGATCTGGGAGTACACCCTCAAGTCCCATTAGTTAGTCTTTTAAATAAACATATGTCCAGTTTGCTGACATCAGAAGACTGTAATAATGCTTTACTTTCCCTAGGGTATAGTTAAAATTAGTATTTTTAGCAAAAGATGCCAGCCAGAATGAGAGGCAGAATTCATCTTCTCCCATAGAAGGGAATTGTTTTCACTGACGTTAATAGGAAATAACAGAGAGATTTCTGTCACTGCACCTCTCCAGTCTATTTAATCCCGTTGAGAAGAGTAAGCACACCTCAACCAAGCCAAGGAGCATAAAATAAAGGTGAAGTTTATTTACTTACTTTAGCCTGGTGCTCTACAAATGTCACAGAATGGTGTCTTTGGAGATAGTAGCCAGCGTGAACCCTATTCAGAGACGACAGGAACTGCTACCCAAAATGGTAGGAACAGCCTTTGAGAGGCTGAAATGTTTTTAATCTCCACTGGAAGCACATCTGAAAGTATTTTGTTCCAAAAGAGTCTTTTAACTATGTGGTCGGAGCCAAGAATTGCTTCCTAAATCTAGATGAGTGTGCAATCTTTTTTGCACAGAAAAGCGTGAATTCTGAAGAAGCATACTGTGTTTGAATCCACCTGTTTGTCTGGGCTATATCTCCCAGCAGACTCGGGAGATAACAGAAGCATTAGATAGGAGATCAAGCAAAACAGAGGCCTACAGATCCTATTTTATGATCATCCAGCAGTGTAGAGCAAAAGAGGGAAGTCAACGGGGCCTCATAAGACAAGGGCACCCGCAGTCACATGCAACCACTGGGAACACTCTCTTATGCCCACGAAACTGTGATCATTTAGGTAAAGGTAAAGGTTCCCCTTGACATTTAGTCCAGTCGTGTCCAACTCTAGGGGGCGATGCTCATCCCCATCTCCAAGCCGTAGAGCCAGCGTTTGTCTGTAGACAGTTTCCGTGGTCACATGGCCAACATGACTAGACACGGAACGTCGTTACCTTTCCACCGAGGTGGTACCTGTTGGTTATTTAGTGACACGTGTATCTGTTGCTTCCTCTGATGGACTCAAGGCAATAGAAATGGCTCTTTTCCTCCTCACATCTCACAATGCTCCTGTGAGGTAGATCTAACTGGAAGAGACCCATTGCTATACAGCCATCTAGTTCATTTCGTGGTTTAGTGGAGACTGGAATCTGGATCCCTGACAGAGTGCCCGGTCCAGCAGTCTGATTACCTGCTCCAACGACAGCTCTTAATTTATCAAAGATACCCGCATGCTCTTCTCTTTTCCTATTGACGTTGGTATTGATGCATGTCTCTCTTTTGACTTCTGAAAGGTTCTTCGCTGGCCAATGGAGGCCTGAATCTTCATAGCACTGTGAAAAGGAAGCTGGAAGGGGAAAAGGATTACGTCTTTGATAAGAGACTCAGGTACAGCGTGCGGCAGAACGAGAGCAACTGTCGGTTCAGGGACATTGTCGTACGCAAAGAAGATGGATTCACGCACATCCTCCTGTCCAGTCAGACCTCAGATAACAATGCACTGACTCCAGAGGTATGTGGGTGAACGTCCATGCATAGAGGAAAGGCCCTGAGAGGTGGGGGAGAGATGGTAGCCAGAAAGGTACCCACAGTCTTAACCTGGGTTTGTCATTTCTACACAATCCCCCAGTAAAGGAGCCCTCTTGATATCCTACTTCAAACTAGAGCAGATCTATTGAGTTACCTAATTATTGACAATCGTCTTTCAGTCAATTTGACAGTAAGGATGGGTGTTGTTGGGGTTTGTTTTTTTTAACTTCTTGGACTACAACTCCCATAATCCTCCATTTTGGGGAGTTCTACCTGACAGACAGACAACCTAAATGTGGCTCAACTTCCAGAAAGGTCACAACTGGGAAACTCTTAAGATTGTGACTGTAAGATGAGAATAAGTTCTTCATTTCAACCGCTGTTAGTTTGTTTGGGTCATTATTAGCACGCCATCCGCTCCATCTGAAAGAGCCACACCTCAGCCCTGTATCAATCTATTTAAGCTGGGATGAGAAGCCCTTTCTCCTAAGTACACTGAACTCAGCTATTTGAAATTCACTTGTACAGAAGCACGAGAGCTCTGCTCATGGATTAATCCTAGAAAGCATGGGCCACGGGTTAAAAATCCAACAGCTGTAGAAGTTGGAAGCAGCCGGACTAATGGGTGCAGTCCCACCAAGTTTGTACAGTTTTTGAAAGTATGAAAAGGGTAAAGCTCACACACACACCCCACTCTTGTGCTGACCCTCCTCCAAAATGTATTGCTGTTATGTGGTAACTGAAGGCTAAATCAAAACAAATAAAAATAGTGTTTCAAAAAGAGAGGACAGTGCTATTCTAGACAGAGCCCTAACTAAGGCAAGGCAGGGCTTCGCCCCAGATGCTAAAATTCAGTGGCCGTTGCCGTATGCCACCCTCCAGATTCTGTCCCTTTCAGCACCATCAACAAAAGGCATGTGCAACAAGAAGGTCCCCCAAGAACAGTCTGCTAGCCGGGGCTGATCCATGCTAGCCACCAGTGGCCCAGGCTCTCTGACTCCCCGTCCACATTGAGCTGCACTTCATATCTTGGTGGCACACACAGCTGCCTTGTTCTGACAGAGAGGGTGGAATCTCTGCCCGTCCTCGAAGACAAGAGAGCGGTAGGGAGAGAAGTCAATGCACCCCAGGCAAGGTGGCAAAAGAAAGAGGTGATGAGGGAGAAGCCAGCAGGCAGGAGACCATGACATAGGGAATCATCTCTAGAAGAAAGAGGAGAAGGTGAGGACAAGGTGGATGCTCCACACCTTGCATCCCCTGCCCAAAGCCAGCTCTCTGGCACTGCTGTTTTCTTCACTCAGTCCTGGGTCGCTCAGGAGGAGGAAGAGGCACATCGTCGTGAAGGCGGCAGTCATAGGCAGGTGAGGTTGAGAGGGGACGCACCTGTCCCCGTAAAACGAATAAGCTGCCTTGGAGGGCTGGCCTCCGGGAAGTGGTGTTTGGTGTGTAGCTACTATCTTCTCTTCCTCTTTCTTTTCATGCGGGTTATACTATCTTCTCTTCCTCTTTCTTTTCATGGGGGTGGCCACCCAACCGCCACCCACTTGTGTGACTTTTCCCTCTGCAAGGTTGTGAATGCATCTGGCAAATCTAGACGAGGGAGAAGCCATGCAGTGGCTTTCTATAAGAAAGAGAAGATGATGAGGACAAGGTGCCTAGGAGTATGAGGTGTGCAGCAGCCATCCCACTCGCCTTCTTTACCCCTCCTCTCTCTCTCTCTCTCTCTCTCTCTCCCACACACACACACACACACACATACACACACACACACACACACACACTTACTTCTGGTTCCATCTTGTTACTGTAATCCACCCACCTTCACGAGTCCCATCCTGTGCCATGCCCCACTCCCCCTCTTTCGTTCACCTCCCTTCTTTCACCTCTATACAGCTTTCCCCTCCTTCAAGAGAACAGCCATCGCAGTCTGCGAGTAGAATGGGCACAGGTGGACGGACACCTTTCTGGAGCGAAGGTCTTTTTTCTCCCTAGGGATTAGTTTCAAGCTGTGTTTGGACATGTCTTCCCAAAGCCCAAATTAGCTCTGAGATTTGCAACAGACCTCTTCCTTGTTCTGTAGCAAGAGCCGTTGCCCCTTGATGTGGGGGAAAATGTCTTATTAAAATGGGGACGGAAAACATCGTGGGGAAATGTGCCATTTTGAGAATTTCTGGTTGACGGTTCAGAGATCGTGTCACTCCTGCTGATGTCACCCAAGCCACACAGAGTGTCTCTCTCTCTCTCTCTCTCTAGCCATTACTTTAAAGACCCAAGCCACACAGAGTGTCTCTCTCTCTCGTCATTACTTTAAAGGCCCACCATTGTCTTAGTTCTAAATGTCAAAGAACTGCATTCTTTCGCTTTTCAACAGATTATGAAGGAGGTACGGAGAGCCCTGTGCAATGCCTCGGCCGATGATAGTAAACTCCTGCTTCTGAGCGCAGTGGGCAGCGTCTTCTGCAGTGGCCTTGATTACTCCTACTTAATTGGCAGGCTGTCAAGTGACAGAAGAAAAGAGAGCACTAGAATCGCAGAAGCTATAAGGTGATTTGGGACTTCCAGCAGACCATCAGTTAGGAAATACAGTGTGCAAAAGAGAATTCAAGGGATGGGATGGGGGGGGGAAGGGGGCTGCAAATCCCGAAATCCTCCATTAAGGGAGTTCTACCTGACACCTTACAGACACCTAAATGTGGCTTGCCTGGGAGAAAAAGCATCAGCTAGAAAGCTTTGAGGCTTAACTAGGCCTTGCTCCACCTGAGCTTCCTGTTCCTGCCCCTTTCCTTGCAGGGAGCTTTCCTTCTGAACAGGAACTAGGCCAAGCTAGGCATTCCGGTTGAGGGCTTTTTCCCAGGCAAGCCATACCTGGTGATTGTAAGGTTTCTGTCTGTCAGGTGGAACTCCCAGAATGAAAACTTTGGGGACTTGTACTCCAAAAATGCAGAAAATCCAGCCCCTAGGGTATTATTACAGTGGTGCCTCGCTTAACGACGATAATCTGTTCCAAGAAAATTGCTGTTAAGCGAAAACGTCGCAAAGTGAAATTTAAAAAACCATTTTCGGTGCCTGAATAGCGAGGAATCCGTCCCTAAGCATAGCGGGGAGCTATTTTAAGCACCCACTGGCCATTTTGAAAACCCGACAATCAGCTGTTTTTGATCGTCGTAAAGCAAAAATCAGTTCCCAAAGCAGGGAACCTATCGCTAAGCGAAATTCCCCCATTTATACCAAAAAGATCGTCGTAAAGCGGATATGTCGTAATGCGGGGCAATCGATAAGCGGGGGACGGCTGTATTTGAATCAGTTCCCGAAGCAGGGAACCGATCGCTAAGTGAAATTTCCCCATTTATACCAAAAAGATTATCGTAAAGCGGATTCATCATAATGTGGGGCAATCGTTAAGCGGGGCACGACTGTATTTGTACTGTCCTTTATTTATTTGGTTTGGGCTAAGCAGAAAGGTCAGTGCAAAAGTAAGTGCAATTGGTTGGTTGACTACATAGCCTATCCTTCACTCTCAGTTCCACCCACTGCCTTAACATTGTTGATTGCTTAAAAATAAAGGATTAAAATTCATTATATACCAGCCACCATTATGTGGACTTGCAAATGGAATGAAGATACTGCACATAAGGCTGTGGATTAATAAACTGCTTCACGCGGTTTTGATTTAAACTGAAATCTTAGACCTCCCTGGGAACAAACCCCTTCTTTTTCAAATAGCAGAATAAATATTTCTTAGATGCCAGACACTGGGTCACAGTAGACATTAGAAGGAAGTTACATTCCCTGGATTACCCTTTCTTCCCTCCCAGAAAAGTATTTGCTCAGAGATAAATGCTTCAGCAATCCAACTTCCAAATTAAGTCCATGTCTATCTTCCACCGACCAACCACAAAACAAAGCAGAAATAGATACAGTCAGAATTCTGTGGGCTTTAGCCAGTGGAATTAAAATCCTCACAGGAGTTTTCAGTTAAACACAGATGGAGCACGAAGGCTCTACCAGCCATTTCCTGCATGTGAGGAAGAAAGGGAAGTGGCTGGGAGTGGCTAAGCCTCATGGGAGCTACAAGGGATTCGGGGCCTGGTAGGTTTTTGAGAGGTACACCGTACAAAGGCTAATGGGCAGGAAGACTACAAAATACCTCACTCTCTTGTGGAGTCAGAATAATACCTTTTTCAGTTCCTCATCCCCGCCTTTACATCTGTAGCATTCCTTTACATATGGCCCCCAGTAATTGACTAAAATGTTTACTGCCCTTTGTAATGATTTTAACGGTCTGCATAATGATGATGTTTCAATTATTTTATTATCTGGCTTTTTAAAATGCTTGGACAATTTTATTTGTTTTCTGTGATGTTTGTTAAGTCACTTTGATCGTAATAGATTAGTGGAGCCGTAGAATAAGACTCTCGTGAACAATAAACAAAGAATCGTTCTTGTTTTCTTTCCTAGGGATTTTGTGAAAGCCTTTATTCAGTTTAAGAAGCCTATTGTGGTGGCAATCAATGGTCCTGCACTAGGCTTGGGTGCTTCCATTTTACCACTCTGTGACATCGTTTGGGCAAGTGAAAAGGCCTGGTTCCAGACCCCCTATGCAACAATTCGGCTTACTCCAGCTGGCTGTTCTTCTTACACATTTCCACAGATACTGGGAGTTGCACTGGTAAGCCTCCTTCCCTTGCAGTTTCTTTGTTCCCAGCCCAGGCAAATGGTTTAGATTCTAGATGGCCCTTCAGCATGAAGAAAGCTCCTTCTCTTGCAAACGCAACAGTTTTGACCTGGGAGCAGCTAAATTCTGTGGGAGCTGCAAGAGATTAGGGGACTGGTAGTCTCTCTTAGCAACAACAGAAATCCAGAAGCCCTTGCCGAACCATCCCAGGTTTGTTCAACTGGATTTTGTGTGTTCCTGATTAAACTCTTGAACAAAACCAGCATCATAGCTAGGTATTTGCTGTTCTACTGTATATAGAAAAGCACCTGAAACAGACACTTCCTGACTTTGAGCTCAGAGCAGGACCTCAAATACACGTGTGGCTTACCAATAGAAGCCAAGCCTTGCTTTGCACTGGGCTTTGGGAACATAAAATAGGTCAGCGCATTTATAAGAGGTATTATGACACCCTTTGCATACACCTCCTTGTACATAATCTGTGCTGCAAATTTAGTGGATATTTGCAAATGTTCTCATCCTCAACAAAAACAAGACACTTGACTGGAAAAAAATTATCAACCATTATCAGATTTTGTCTGATTGCGTGAGGGTTCTTTTTGCCTTTGCCCAATAGCAGATAGACCTCTCTCTTTTTTTCATTAAAAGAAGCACTAATAAAAAACAAAAGTTAAAAATATATATTTTATTGTTCTCGTGCAAGCATTCGCCTTCTGCAGTTGTGCTTTGTTGTTGCAGGCCAATGAAATGTTGTTTTGTGGAAGGAAACTTACAGCGCAAGAAGCGTGTAGCCGAGGACTCGTCTCTCAGGTCTTCTGGCCCACAACGTTTGGGCAAGAAGTGATGCTGAGGGTGAAAGAAATGGCATCCTGCAGCGCTGTGGTAAGCAGATTTGGGCTTCTGGGAAATCATAAATATCTTCAGGATAGCTCAGTGATTTAAGTCTCCGGGTGTGGAGCCAAAGGTTGGGAGTTCGATTCCCCACTGGGCCTCCTTCCAGCCCACTGTGGTCCCTTCCAGCCGGTTGGGAGTTCGATTCCCCACTGTGGTCCCTTCCAGCGCTCCAGCTCTAAGATGATGGTGAAATCATGTATCTCTCATTAAAATAAAAATCAGGACCAAAGAGTACTGTTTTCCTTTTTAAAAAAGAAGAAAAAGAGAACCAACTAGAACCTACTCTGGTCATCTCAATGTCTAGACAGTTGGGCTCCAGTTCTAAAATAATATTTCCTTCAGGCAGAGCGGTAGAAACATCTCCAAGAGTCTGTTTCCCGTTTTTGTACGAAAGCTCTGCTACACGAAATTCTAAAATAATATTTCCTTCAGGCAGAGCCGCAGAAACATCTCCAAGAGTCTGTTTCCCCTTTTTGTACGAAAGCTCTGCTACACCTCTCTGACCGAGATATTGCAGTTTCCCTTTCACTGTAAAGGGCTTTGGATCCAAGGAGTTTAATTAAATGAATTGCAGATTATATCTTGTCTTCCAAGGCGGTGAGGCGCACAAAAGAAACACACACTGAAAAGTCATTGTAATTCCCTTGTGCTGCTGATAAGCATCTAGCCATGCCCGGGGCCTCATCCTGTAGCCTTCATGTCCTGTCATTCTCTCCTAGGTTCTCATTTCATTGTCTCCTTTTTTTTTTCTTTTTAAATGATGCTACAGTGATGCCATATAGCAGCGATTCTTTACCTTTTCTTTACCACAAACACCCTTTAAATACCTTTTGTTGTCATGGACCACCACAACTTAATTCAAGATTTAAAGCTCCAAAGTACATCAAATTTATTTAAAGGTTTGCCTGGAGGGTTTTCAGATTTAGAAAGAAGGAAGAAACAAGTTGATCTGTTAATGCACACACTCCTATTAAAATATTTTTATTCGAATGGTTCTAAAGTGGTAGGTTAGAAAAGCCTAGTTTTAAGCAAACAAGCAAGGGAAATTAAGTTTTTGTTCTACGTTTCTCTTTCTTTGGTTCTTGTTGTAACTAGTGTAGCGATGCAGGTCCTCACAAGTTCTTGAACTCACACTCTTGTCAGAGGAACAAAGAAAGCAAAGAACTGGCTTCCCAAAGCAGGAAGATGTTTTGCCCAAATTCCCTCGTTTTAGGGCAAAATTTGCGTCATTTGAGTAAATTGTACAACTTGTATAGATCTGGTTTAAAATATGTAGGTGAGGAAATTCACACACTAAATAACATAAAGTACATATAAAAGTTTTTGCTCCAATGCCTATTTTGTAAGGGTGGTTTGGTCTTGAATGGAGAATTAAAAGCCATTAGATTTACAAACAACCTGCTTTGGGCATGAGTGACACTCAGGACCATCATGGTGAGCATCTTCACTTTCAAATATACATTCAACTTAAATATATCGCTGTGCTGTTTTCCTCCACTAGGGCAGGTATGTTCAAATGATGGAATACAATATTTGTTTTTACATTTTAGGTGTTAGAAGAATCGAAATGCCTTGTGCGGAGTTTCTTAAAATCTGGTCTCGAAGATGTAAATGAGAAAGAGTGCCAGATGTTAAAACAGCTGTGGAGTTCTTCCAAAGGACTGGATTCATTATTCAGTTATCTACAGGACAAAATTTATGACGTCTGACATGGCTAAGCAGCGTGAAGCGAGGAAAAACAAAGGTGGAGGAAAACGAGATTTCAAGTGTCACAGAGGAATAACATCATGGTCAAATCCAGATCCAAGATGTCCTTCAGAGGAAATTGTGGACCGTGTCTGTAACACACCTGTGGTCATGTCCGTTTTCTTGTGAGTTCGATTCAGCCGCTTGTCCTGGCAAGATTTTTCCTTATAGAAAAGAGGACGGCCCCAGGATGCAGAGCCTTTGCTGAGAGCTGCATCTTCTAGCTGGAAAGAACAACACATTCCATGTGCTCCCAAGGCACTCTGTTAGCTCCTAGACGGCGAAATGTGAATATCAATTCCTTTTGTCATTGTTTTTAAACGAATGGATTCTTCTTACAATCAACTTGTCTTTGCATTGATCCAAGCGACTCAATCTCAGCTTCAGGCCAGGATCATGCTTTGGCGGCCCAACCGTAGATATATTTCAGTACTTCTTTTCTTTACTTTTTTTAGAAAGTTAACAATGGAGTGAATGGTGTGAGGGGGGGAGGCGATATAATTTATATCTATGATGTATAAAATAATAATTATTTTGCAACTACAAAGAACCTATTAGAAATTCTTCCTGTGTTTTTCTCCCCCAGTTAAATTTATTTAATTAATTTATTTGTGTGGTTGTGTACCTTAGTATGTTTATAGGTATGTATTTATATAGATATATACATGCGCATGTGCGCATATGCATTGGTGTGTGTGTATATGTGATGGTGTACGTATACACACATGTCCACACACTTGACTGTTGACCTTGTTAAGATGCTATTTTTAGCATTGTTTTACGCCATTATAATTATCTTGTTTCCCAAACTTGGATATGTTTTGCACAGTTCGACAAGGCTCTTTGGTTTACTTTAAACAGATTGATCTGTGTGGATAAGAAAAAGAGGGTTACGCAGAAGAGGCCCTAGAACGCTTCGGAATATTAAGGAAACAATTAGATCCGTGTTCCTAGATGCAGAAAATAGTAAGAAACAGGTACAGAGGGTAGATATCATTGCATAATATTGATCAAGAAAAACCAGCATAAACCTGAAGCTGTGTGTGTTACACGAATCCTCTTCTTCTTCCTGACAACTTGAGGTATAGTGTAGGGGGTGTTGTTGTTGTTTTTAATTAAAAAATGCGTATATGTTTACTATATTTTTCTTGTTGGCTGGACATGAAAAAACAGGGTGAATGGTGTGTAAACGGAGGTGCCAATAAACAGTTAAGCCCCTCTTTGGCCCGGGGAGCTTGGCGGTCTAGGTCTCATGAGCTTCTCAGTGTAAGAGAAATGCTGGTGAGAAGCTACTACGCTGTGAATTATTAGATAACAAAAACTCCCTTTTTCTGTCTCTTTTTTTGGCACGTGGCGGTTGGCTTCTCCACCTCCAAATTGGGTGAAGACATCAGTTTCCCTCAGAACGATCACTCTTCTTTTGCCGGGTGTGATCCCCGATATATCTAGAAAAGAATTTTTCCCCATATTGCATCAGTTTAATGCCTTACGATGGGTGGGTTTAAGTCCCCAGAGAAAAATAATAGAAGGGGCGCATCCTTCAAATGAAGCAACGACAATGGCCAAACCAACGTGTGTTAAGGCAGGAAGTTTCGGTGCCCAAGCTAGTCAAAATAGGTATATACTTTTCACTTTCAAACTGCTAAAGTTGAAGGCAACTTTTCACACTGCAAATGTGAACACTGAATATAAACATTTGCTTGTAGTATCATTTGTTCCCTGTAGCAAACAAGAAGGACTTCCGGAAGTTTCTTAAACATTACTTTTCCCCTCATCGCCATGTTTTTGCTTCGTTTTTTCCCTCTCTGCCCAGTATGAGCGTAGAAAACAGTTTCTTTTTAAATTCCTTCCCTGTTTCTCTTTGAGAGCTTCCAAAAAAGACAGTAGGGTAGGAGGGAGGGTTTAATCTTTTGCTCTCTATGAGGTAGAAGTCCAACCTGTTCAAAGGCATACATGGAGATCATTGTGCAGAGCTTCTAGTTAACGTAGAGAACATCTTCCAGTTAAAAATTGTCTATATATCTTTTTGGAAATAAATATTCAGTGTGGTTTGCATTGTAAGGAAAGAGGGAAAGGTTGATGTCTCTGAAATGAACTGGGAATTATTTCTAGTCGCCCCTTTACCATTATACTACTGGACTCCAGTTTAGCTTCCTTAGATTAATGTATGGAACTAAAATCAGAATGTTACATACGCACTAGCAGAAGATGTCCTCGCAGTGTATGATCTCGAGGGAGAATATTCGAAATTTGCCTCTCTCAACAAGTGGTACAGCCTCAAGAGGATTTATCTCCCACAGACTGATGAACTGGCAGGAATTGTTCCCATACTAAGATTTGCTGACAGACAGAGTTCTCGACATTTTGCTCTCTGGACAAAAGATGTTCATAATACACCCAATTTTTTCACATATGCTGATCAGTTTCTTCTAGAGACTTTTCAAAATTTCCATATTGCCACATTTCTTTGGTAAAAGCGTGTTGAAACACACTGAACTACAATCTCTTTTTAAAAAAAGACTCTTAAGCTTTTAAACATTTTTTAAAATCATAACTACACGGTTAATCCAATTTCCATGAAATCTTTTTTTTAAAGGGCATTCTCTCTTTTTTTAGAAAAAACAACTCATCCAGATCTCTCTTTCTGTCATCACTGGGTATTCAGTTTGGTAGGTGTACTGTATATACTAGATCAAATATCTTTATTGAATATTCACAGTATTTAATAAAATAAATAAATAAATGCAGATTTGTTGTTAAGTATGTTACATTATTTCATGTAAATGGTTTTGTACAAATCTTTAAAGATCTGCAGTTTTTTGCATTTGTAAATATGGAAAAGTAAGCAACTTCATTTCTGTGTGTTTGTCTTGCATGTATATTTTTGCTGTACATAAAACAGCTTAGTTGGTTATCCTTCTGTTTCAACGAATAAGCTTTCAGACTTTAATACAGTATATATATTTTCAAAAATATAAACTTTTATATTTCCGTGGTAGATTAGGGTAAGCGTTGTAGGCAATCTTTTCCCCACTCTGGCCGACCGTTCTTTTAATTCCTCGCATTCCAGGGCTGGTGCCAATTATTTTTCACTTTGAATAATTTTATCGTTTATTCTTCTAAATATATGCAGCAGGGTTTTGCTGGTTGGTTTTCACTGCAGCCTTGAAATCAATGATTTTAAGCTACCGATCTGTAAATTTACTGCATTTGTGAATAAGCCTTACCACTAGTTTGGATCAAACATTGTGAATTGTGTCAGGAAGGTGGAGAGGGTTCGACTAGTTGTGATGGCACCAAACCATGGTTTAGAATCAAGGCAGGGAATCACAGCTTAGAAGAGCTTCGTGGCGCCGTGGTTGAACTGCTGTACTGCAGTCAAAACTGTGCTCACGACCCGGGGTTCAATCCCAGGTAGCCAGCTCAAGGTTCACTCAGCCTTCTATCCTTCCGAGGTCGGTAAAATGAGTACCCACTGCGGAGGGGGAGCAATGTGTAGCCTGCATGGTTGACTTGTAAACCACCCAAAGAGTGCTTGAAGCACTATGGGGTGGTATATAAGCAGCACACTTTGCTTTTATGGGCCTCATATGGCCCACAGAGGGAGGGGTGCCCCTCCTACCCAAGGCCCTTCCCACTTTTGAAACCCAGCACTCTCCCAGATAAAAAATAGAATTGCTGCTGTTGCCAATGGCGGATCAAATTTAGCACCACCACTATCCACCCCCCCTTGAGTTCTTTGGAGATGCACTGAGGAGGGCTGACTTTGACAGAGGGGATGGAAAGACTCCATCCACCACTTCTGTTGGGCACCTGGTACGGTCAAAGGTGTGGCTACATCCTGATATGTCTCAGGCTACAGAAGGTTGATGGGGGAAGACTTCTATCTCCCACCTTCTTTTAATTACCCACCCTTGGATTATCCAAGGATGGATGATCATCCTTAAGATACAAACCAAGGGGCGGGGGCAACTTCATAATGAACATTTTGTTGCACATGTTCCCCCCCCCCGCGAATGCTCTTCTTCATGAAAGTTGCTTCTCTAGGACAGAAGCCAAGACGTTGTTCTAGAGACTGATCGCTACCGATGGGGAAGGTTGTTCAGTACAATCCATATTCAAAGAACCAGGATGGGGAATGGCCATCACTGCTAATTAAACCCTAAGAAATTCAACCGCATTCAGATAACTGGGAAATCTTAACATGCAAGGCCTTAATTTTGTTTCCTTGTGAAATGGATAATACGGGTTGTTTCTTTCAAACAACATAGCTAGGCTTGTAGACGCGGGCTTTGTTCCCTATAAACTGTGCATATTGTCCACCCCATTGTGTTAATCAATCTCAGGCTGTGGGTGTCTGCATCTATAAAAGTCAAATCTGGCTGAGGCCAGCTCTTTAGGAGACACTAAAGAAGTTTACATAAGAGACCTATAGACAATCTTAATCGTAGTACATTTAAGTACTCCGTTTCCTGGATGTGTTATCTCTGTCTACCCAATTAAAATGTAAGTTTTTAAGCCATACTGAATCTCTTTAAATACTACATGGTAAGTTATTTACTAACTCATTGACATTGTGAAAGGATTTCGGCTTCTGGGAAATAATATCTATAAATATTTATATATATAAACACACACACATATATATAAATATAAATAATGTATCTTCCATTCAAATAAAATAAGGACCAAAGAGTACAGTTTTCCTAAATAAGCATTAGTCTAAAAATGAACCAGTTTTATTTGTATAGCAAAGAAAATACTCCCTTTCAACCTTCATTTTCTAACCTTTTTCACTCATTTTGTAATATTTTTCATTCATTTCAGGGAGATTAGGGGGAAAAGCAGGATAACCAGAAATGGTCTATCTGCTACAAAGGTTTAGAAAAATGAAAAATAGCTTATGAATGATGGAGTGTCTATTGGTAAGGCTTATTACCAAACCTCTGAGATAAAGCAGATAACCAAAAAGGAAAAAAAAATGAGGGCGAAAATTTAACGTAATTTGTTCGTCAAAACCTATTTGATTTCTCACGAATATCTTGCACAAAGAAATGAAAATGTAGACTTTTTCCAATTAGGCCCATCAATTATTTTGTTGTCTGGTTGTCATAGAATAAAAAGGAAACCATTTCCAATATCTGTAACGATGGTGAGTGCACAGTATAATGTATATGATGGCATGAGGCACCCGTTAACCACAGTGTTGTAAATAATATTTCAGAAAGTCGTTCAGTACTGACGGACATGTATCTTCTGATATATCGGATATTTGACTGTCTAGATTGAATTGTACACAATATATTTGTCGATGGTCCTGTAAACTAGTGTATGAACACATTTTTCTGGGTGCCTTAGAAGTTGTATTTTTCATGTGTGTTAATATGCAGTATTTATACATTGTGAGAAGCTGCTTTGAATAAAAACACTGAAACTCTTGTTTCGTGACTTTGGGGTTTTACAAGGAGCCGTGGTGAAATTCTCTCAAGGCCCGCTGAAATGTGTTTTCAGTCCTGTCAAAGCCAAATTGAGGGTGAAGATTCCCATGAGATCCTACAAGCTGGCCATAGTAGGTTCTTCGCAGCCTGGCTCCGCAACAGATGCTGGAGAGGGGCCATCCCATCACCATCACCTAGCATCCTGATTGCTCCTCCCTGAGGCTTTCTCCCTCCACAAGCTGGCTCAACAGATCCCAGTTTCCCCATTTTCTTTCTATCGTGCCCCTTCCTTGAGCGTTACAGAACACTGCTGGAAATCAAAATGGCCCCTGGAGCATTACGGGCAGAACACCGTCTTGCGCTTCTCAGAGTTAAAACAAAAAAAATGATGGTAGCTATGTTGGCCCATTTGAGAGAAAGAAAACAAAATCCACAGTCGGGCAATACTATGATTAAAGATGTGGGCAATTTTGATGGGTCTGAAAGCCAATTTCATCCCTCCACCCCATTGAGCTACACTGCAACCTAATTCAAAAAATCTTTGGGCAAGACATGCAGAAAAGCAGGAAAAGCCACTGAAACAAGAAAATGCTTGTGTTAATAGCCTTCTGCCACATTTCAACAGTGTTGTTGTTGTTGTTTAGTCGTGTCCGACTCTTCGTGACCCCATGGACCAGAGCACGCCAGGCCCTCCTGTCTTCCACTGCCTCCCGGAGTTGTGTCAAATTCATGTTGGTCGCTTCGATGACATTGTCCAACCATCTCATCCTCTGTCGTCCCCTTCTCCTCTTGCCTTCACACTTTCCTAACATCAGGGTCTTTTCCAGGGAGTCTTCTCTTCTCATGAGATGGCCAAACAGTGTGGCAGAAGGCTATTCAACAGCATGGCAGAAGGCTATTAACACAAGATGGTGGGAGGTGGGTCCCAAAGCAATGTTACTTGCTAGAGACACAAAGCTGATGTGTCTGTTCCTTGGCCTGGGTGGATCAACAATAGCTTGCGCCATTTTGGTTGGATTTAACAAAGGTTTTGTGGGTTTTCCTGGGACTTCATTCTGGGTACCCTGTTTCCCCGAAAATAAGACCTAACCTGAAAATAAGCCCTAGTATGATTTTTCAAGATGCTCAAAATACAAGCCCAACCCAAAAAATAAGCCCTAGTTAGGCGAAACCCCGCCCTCCACCCTTGTGCAGCAACCAGAAGATGACATGTCTATATTTGAATAAATGTAGATGGTTGTAAATGGAAAAAAAATAAAACATCCCCTGAAAATAAGCCCTACGGCATTTTTTGGAGCAAAAATTAATATAAGACCCTGTCTTATTTTCGGGGGAACACGGTAGACCTTTCTGGAATTGCTCAGTAAGGCTGCATTCCTAGCAAAATATATTTGAGTGTAGATCTTTGATGTGAGAGCTAATATGGTATATGTAGCAGAGTTGAATTAGAAACTGACTGGGGAGGTGCAATGGTCAACCACTTCTTGAACATCTTACATATATTGGAAAATCTGGCTGTGGATGGTGTCTGAAACAAGCCCAATTAAAAGAAGACAAAACTTGGGCTGAGTCATAGAGAGGAGGCATTGTTTCATCAGTATGGTTTGCCCTGGTCACTTGCATTGAGAGATGTTGCCTTACTTCACATTAATTGTTTTAAGACTACTATTTGAGTCTCCTAGACTAGCAGTGGCTCTCAAAGCTGTGATACATACCTACCACCAGTGGAGCACATAAGTAGTATTTATTGGTTTTGTCGGGTGGTTGGAGTTATTGTTTATTTTATCTTTGTAAACCGCTTAAAGTAGTGTCCCATACTAAGTCAGTGGTATATAAATGTATGAAATAAAATAAGAAGTAGTGTCCCATACTAAGTCAGTGGTATATAAATTTATGAAATAAAATAAATAAAACCCATTAGGGTCCCTGTAAGTCAGAAGCAACAGCACAGGGCATAACAATTTGTGAAACTCAATAGATCTGCTCATTACCCTGCAGAAGATCAAGGTGTAAAACAGGATAATCAGCAACAACTTTTTTTCCTTATGAAACTGGGGGAGCAGAACCATACTAAGTCAGTGGTATATAAATTTATGAAATAAAATAAATAAAACCCATTAGGGTCCCTGTAAGTCAGAAGCAACAGCACAGGGCATAACAATTTGTGAAACTCAATAGATCTGCTCATTACCCTGCAGAAGATCAAGGTGTAAAACAGGATAATCAGCAACAACTTTTTTTCCTTATGAAACTGGGGGAGCAGAAAAAAGCCCAGCTATGACAGGCTGGATAAAGATTCCTGACAGATTTTCCCCGAATCCTTCCAGTTCCTACAAATCTTTAGCCATGATTGATAAAACTGCAAATAGTTTGTATGGAAGCCAGGAAATTAGGATTTGACTCATATTTCCTGCAGTCATCATGTGTTTATGTCACCATATTGGTATAACAATACTTCACCTCTGTGCATTATTTACTTGCTGGCTGCCACAATTTTGTTCTAATGGAAAGACTGTGGGAAGGTGTTCAAATGTGTCTGAGCAGATAAACAACCTTATTTGCCTGCACAGGGGTGTCAAAACAATATTTTTATACTGGTGCTTCTTTTGAGTTTCATTTGCCATTATAAAGCAGAAGCTAAATTGAAAATAAAAGTGCCGTAAAACATTTACTGTACGTTCTACCCTAAGGAAGTGCTTCATTTTAGAATGATACAGTCGACTGGAAGGAAGGAAGGAAGGAAGGAAGGAAGGAAGGAAGGTGAATCCTTACAACTACTGCAAGATGTAGACTCCTTACGGAAAGGAGAAGGAAGGAAGGAAGGAAGGAGAGGAAATGATATGAATACAGTATGTCCTGGAAAATTATTTGGGAGGAGGAGAATAAACAAAAAAAAAATAACCAGATCCAACCAGTTCTACTGTAATTACATCAGTCTTTGTAATATTAGCTATAGCTTGCTGACTCAGGCTGAAGTTACCTATTTTTA